AGAGTGAGATTGAGAATTTTCGAATAGCCACCCAAGATAGACAGCTGCAGCGTTGTGTTGATTGCCACTTCCTCCGGTGTGATTTGAAATTGAGTTTCTCAGGGTAAAAAAACAGAGTCTCCGCCCAGCAGTCTCATCCTGCTGTACTGCCAATCAAAGCTATATCCACTTCACATCACTATGCCAATGCTTTAGCTGATAAACTAGCCTTGTTGCAACAGCAACCTATAGCCTGAGTCCTTCATCTCCACACTAAGATGCAACAACCGCTCTCACTCATCCTCTTACTGAAGCGTCCTTGCACACTGGTCCAGATATATAAGGCGTGTGTGTGTGTGTGTGTGTGTGTGCAATCAGACTCTGTTGCCCTTGCAATTGAAGTAACAAATTGTCTCCCTTGTAATCAGCCTCCCTTTGCCTGCTGTTCTCATCAAAATTATTTTGAATACTCTGTTGCCATGGCACCTTGAAAAATCTGCCGCTGACATATTTTTTTCCCCCTGAGATAGCAATTCTCATTTTTCTGCCTGCTTATCTAACGGACAAAAACACACATCAATTTCAGACAAAATTAGTGCATAATGTAAAAATAGATTGTTTGGGGGGAAAAAAAAGAGAAACATACACTAAAAAGAAGTAATGTTCTGTAGTTGAATTAAATCAGTTTGAATGCATACACTCTAATAAATATTGGGTTTGGAATTGCTCACGGCAGGGCGGTAGCGGCTCCCATCTGGGGCAGTAGGTTGAGATCATGCACACAACTTTTACAGTGTAATATCTATGCACAGAACAGACATTACAGGTTTGAGATCAAAATGCTCAGTCAAGCTTTCTCATCTTAAAATACTTTCCTCAGAAGTGCAGGTAGGGTTAGATGTACTGCATATGCCCAACTCAATGAATCCCATTTGAGAAAGCCATTTGTTTTGACTAGTATTAGCTTGTCCACAATTAATACCTGGAATCAAAAGTTCTTTGGCAAAAAAGATCAATGAATGCAGCTTTAAATTAAAAAAAAATCTTGTCATTTATCTGTTGATTAATCTTGAAATTCACAGCTATATATACACAACCTCTCTGTTACATATTGCAATGCTAACAAACATGTTTTTTAGTTTGATGTGTGTTCACTTTCACAAATTCCTGCTTGCTGTCAACAGTCAGTGTCTGCCATGTACAGTATTTCTATGTGCAAAGGGTAAAAACAACATTGTTCACAACCTTGCAGCTCCTCCAAAGTTCAGGATCAGAACCCACAGCTGCTCTTGAAGTTCCACAGACGAAGCTTTAATGTAAAAAAAAAAACAACAACAGCGCTCTCAGCCTTCAATAGGGTTACATGATCATTTGCAGCCAACAGCAAAGATATTCAGCGATATCCTATAGCCTTAATTGACGATGTACAAGAAATACAGAAAACTTTTCCAAGACCGAAGGCATGCGGAGATTCATTAACTTTAAAACAACAGATGCGATGGATGATTTCATGCCTCCCCAGAAAGCGAAACAGAGTGCTCTTTGAAAAAGTGAATTACTGAGAGCAGGAGCTCCATTAAGAGAGAGGGTGTCAAAACTCGTGTAGAAAGCCACTTTAAAGAACCCAGACAGCCAATGTCTGCTCTTTCTTTCATTGCCATTGAGGAGGTGTCTCTTGGTCCAGGAGGAGGTCATTTAAATTTCATTTAAAAAAAGAAAGAGAGAGAGACCTTTGGGATCTTTCCTTTCTGAACGTCTTAACCCAAGATGATTGAATGTGGGATCTGATTTTGAAACCGTCCTCTAGCTGTTTTAATATAATGTCGCATCCTCAATTACACTCTGCGATATCATTTGCAATGTTTTAAAATCTTGGCATCGAAGTGGCTATTTTAGATGCCCCTGGGAATACATGTTACCTTATAACTAGTGCTGGGCAAGTTAACGCGTTAATTTCGCGTTAACGCATTCATTAATTAACGCCGATAATTACTTTATCGCAAGTTAACGCATTTGTTTAATTTATTAAAATTCTTTTTTTTTTTTTTTTCTTTTTTTTTTTATTGAAAGACAAGAGACAATACATATACATAACAACAAGAGGATGACAAGAACAGTGGGACAAAAGCCAGCAAACATCCTATAGTCAGTAATTTTAGTGCACCTATATGCTGAAATTCATTAAATATTTTAATCGTTGCCCAGCACTACTTATAACACCAATGAAAGCTTTTGCAGCTGTTGGTCTTTACTCTGGTAGCTTTGTCTTTTGATCCTTACGACCAGCGGGATTCTTTTTATAACTTCAGGCATGAAGTCAAACTCAGAGGACGGCTTATGAGGGAGCTGTACCTCACACTTCCCCATGATTACCCCTGTCTATCTTTGAGGTTTCTCATACAAAGGGCACAATGAAGAACCGTGAGTAGCATGTGTTTCATCGAGCATGAAGCAGGAAACGGCACATATGAAACATTAACGCATGACTGTACGAGTGGAATAATGCCTAACATTTGTGTGATGAAAGTTACCGTGATTTTATCGTTTTCCCACTTTTCTTATTTTTTGCATCATTTTCTTTTGATTCTACAGAGAACAAGGCTGAACCCTGGCATAGCATGCAGCTCCCTACACATGCCTGTTATTTTACCATGTTACAAAAAAAAAAAAAAAAGCACACGCTGTGAAGCCAGTTAGAGACCCTTATAGTGGAAATCACATCTACGGTGCTTCCACATTTAATGGTAAGCTGGAGAGTTCATAGCGTATTAGGAGAAACCTTTTGCACTATGGGAGAGAGAGTACTAATGCACAGGGTGATTCAACAGTATAAACAAGATCCACTATAGAGCACCGCATATACACTGTAATGATGTTGCTGTTCCTGAAGACATCATTTTTATTGTCTCTGCTACTGCACTAATTCTGCAGTAATCCCAATTCAAAGTAGACACAAGCGAGACCATCCACTGACACGTTGAACTGAACGTCACATTATAGGTGCTTTAGGCTCAGTCAGGGAGAAGAAAACAGGGATTTCACCGCCCTTAATGGACACTGATCGGGGCAATTTGTTAAAACTGTGACAAGGGCAACTGTGTGGTGTCAAAAATGACATTTTGAGAAGGACACATACAAAGGCTAGACACACCTGAACCTAAATTAAGCAACGTCAGTATGTAATGTGTTCCAGGTCATTAAGCACACCCTCTGAGGGTATTAGTGGCTGGGTGCTGTGTACTGGATCTGAGTGCAGATGCTCCTCTTATGTTTTGCACTTTAGCGAATGGCAAGTTTCCTTATTAGAGAGGATGGATCACACTGACCTAATCTGCTATTATGCTTTCAAAGACTAGTGTGCAGTAATTTCATCACTTTAGCAGGTGAAGACGGTTAAGACAGACAATCTCTCAATATCGCACTAATCAATCACGTTTACAGTGCATTACTGTGAGAGCGCGCTTTGCCCCCATGGAGTGCAGCCTGATATAAAAGCAGATTGGCTCCCTTCATGGCTCTTTCTGATTTCCCATCAGTATTCGTTGCATGTGTCCTATGCGCTCGCCCACCTTATGAACACACATGCTCATTCAGATCAAGCTCAGAGAAATGGCATAATGAAACATTGACTCTACAGCACCTTCTTTTTCACAATGACATTTTGGAACAATCGTCACCAAAGGCACCAAATTATAGTACGACAATGCATTTGAAGCTTAATTTGTCTGGTTTCAAAGTTGAATGTTTGTGCACTCACAGTTAAGTAAGCTTGGCCAGGAAAAGAAGCTTTTGCAAGTCTCCCAAAATGAGTTTGTGTCACATCTCACCTATCCATTTGAAATGCCCTGGAGGTGCCCCACCCGTTATGAACTGCCCTTTAATTACAACAGGCTGCTGCCCTTGTTGCACATTCGATGATTGTAACACCTGTTATGTTGCAGCAGGGAAATGAAGTTCATGCGAAATTTACAGCTTGAGTAGTGCGAGGATATATTTATTGTAAAACAATGCCAAAGAAATAAAAGTATTCCTATTGAGATTTGCTATTCCTATAATTTTTAACTATTTGTAACTTTACAGGACATAAAGTGTGACTGTGCTACTCTATAATGAGCAGTAACCTTGCTATTTATGGTACTTTTATGTCCTAACATTCAAACATTATTATAGTCTTACATTCGGGACCTGTTACGAGCAATATTTTTTATTGTATCTTACATTTTCTTGCATGATCAGGTACATTTTTTTACAGCGAATCAAAGCAGATATATTAAATCTCCTGTACTTTAAAGGCGGGGTCGAACTTCCCTCAGCTGTCTCGCCTGCAGGCCTGTAATATTCACCATATCCTATAATGCAAGTCTGTGTACTATGTGCATTGTTCCTGTAGTAACATCAGTCGGATTTGACCGGATTTGTCAAGTCCACCAGAATTCCTTTTCTCATGGCATGTCATGTGGCCTCCATGCAGGCAGATAATACACTTGGGGATGAATATGCACCAAAAGAACAACCCCACGTTATCCTCTTCTTAGAGGCATTTTGCGGATGTGCACATTATACTAAAGGATGGGTTGTCTCTGGCTTTCTCCTGAATCTCTCAGAGGATTACACATAGTTTGTTTTCTTATGGTGGGAGGGTATTCATGTTGATTTTTTTCAAGACGGATATCCCATTTCCATTGATGCGGGCCAAAAAGAGTGCTTGTCCCAAAGCAAAGTAAAGCACGAGGTGCAGTCTGAGACACGTGGGTGGTCGGGTATATTTGTGCTCCTGCTTATGATGACGGGCGTTTAAGATTGAGAAGGATAAGGAAATGAAAGCGTTTTCATTTACAGCCTGAACACAAAGCAGCACGCTTGCCTACGGGGGGGATTTTTAAGTGCAGCAGTGACCCAACACCCCCACCTCCATCCACTGTCCTCCTCCCTCCCCACCGTTGCAGCATCTTGTGCTGGACCACGAGCTGTACCAGCTATTTCCCGGAGCATCGCAAACACCCCATAGCACCTCCTCTAGATATGAACCCACTGTAATGTGATAACATGTTATTCTCATCTTCCCCACAGGAAAAAAAAAGAAAAAGAATCTCTCAGTTGATCGTGTACATATATGCTCGAAATGCAGCCTAAATTACATCACATTGCTGCAGTGCTGCACTGCCCATGAAAGGTGTCAGTCGTTTCCTCTGACACCAAGCATTTGTCCACTGGCCACTTGGCTCTGCATCTGCTGAAGACATCATGGCGTGACAACATGTATTCGTTTGTATCGGGCTCTTATTACGCAGGTGGGCGCATGCACGAGGAGTAAGAGAGGGCGCATTTTCGGAGGCTGCCTGTTCCTCAGGACACAGCGAGATTTCCTGCCACATCCCGCCCGGAGAAATCGACCGCATCGCTTTGTTGAGGGGAGCGCGCATACCAAGCCATGTATGAACACTAATTGCTCGCATGGGTACGCATTGTCGGCCTATTAGAGGAGAAAGAAGAAGAAGAAAAAAAAACACAGTGTGTCAGTGGATGGGTGGGATTCCTTTCATTGCGCTTCAGACAGGGGAAGTTATGACAACAAACGGCTGCCAGTAAAACAGGCGTGATAACTGCGCCGCGGTGCTGTAATTACGAGAGTTTTCGACCTTGGAGATCTCTTAGCGGACTTAAAGCCCGAATTTGACGCCAACCTTCAACCGCCAGAGGCTTTTTTTTTTTTTTCTTCCAAGAGCGCAACCCATCGCGTCCAAACGAGCCCCGGACTGCAGTTTTCTGTCCCGACTCCCATCTGTGCTGCAATTCATATCAAGCGCGAGCTTTATTGGACAATTTAATCCACCGTATTCCTGCGTTAAACCCTTGCGCGAGGGGACTTGATACGGCCACGTACTGACGCTTTAACCCCCTTTTTGTGCACGGCTCGGACGCAAGCCTCGGACTCTCCTGCGCTTTTGGATTTTTTGCGCGTTTTTGGCTTTACAGTTTCTGCCCTTACGTCTCAATCGGATCGTTCTGGGATTTAAGGTGGGGTTTTATCGCGACGCAGGTAACTGGAAGATACCCCACAGTCCCTGCTTGATGACACTTCAGCTGCACATTGTCACTCATCACGTCCGCTGGATTTTTCAGCACCAGCCCCAAAGAGAAGCTTTTTTTATTTTTTATTTTTTTGTACGTGTGCATTTGGAATAAATGAACTCCCGTTGCCATCTGAGAGTCGTGGTGAATGTATCCAGTGTGACAAGTGTGTGGACGGCGGAAATCATGTGCAATCGGATCAACCCTTCGGCGTCTGCTTTATTAGTGCCACTTTTGGTAAGTCACTTGGTAGACTTAGTGAGAAATGTGCGATGGACTTTCCACTACTGATGCTCATGTGTGGATGAATGTGTGCCTCTCTGACAAGCTGAACAGTGTCCAAATATATGGTGTGCCGCATTGATTGTGCCCCCAACTGCAATCTCTATCTATCTATCTATCTATCTATCTATCTGATCAGCAACATACCTATTTCTCTCTTGCTTGCATAATGTGCAAATCTTTGCTCTACTTTGTAGGCATCCTCAGTAGTCTCCTGTAGGCTATAATATGATATCCATCTAGCTGAGATGTGTTCAGGCTACTTCAGATCGTCGGTCCTTACATGTTGGAGCAATTACTGATTGAGTGGTAGTGCTCCTATATACAGTTACAGATGTACTATCATAGTGTAGCCGGGGCTCCGAACTGGGGGATGAAGGCGGTTAAACAGTGACGCGCGACTTGAATTCCCAGAGACTGGGGTGCATGTGGAAATGGCCCGGGTGTGTCTGCGTCAGCGCGACGCAGAGGCGAAGACTTTTCATAAATTATCGGCAGCACTGAAATCCTCCCCATCAGGGCAGTAGCACTGATTGCTGAGAGAGTGGACAGTTTTTTTTTTTTTTTTTACTGTGGAGCCACCGAGCTTGAATGATGAGGGGTAAACTTGCTAATGTCCCGTTTGAGTTGAGTTTAAATATAGAGGGATGATCATTTAGATGATTATTTCATTTCATGGTGAGTGGAGGCCTCAGCAGGATGCGTGCACTGTGTGTGTGAGTTACAGGGCTGCGCAGCGCTTTTGTTTTTGACAATCGGCTAAGCAGGTTTAGAGATGATAAAAGACGTTTAAAAAAATCAAAAGCACTGATGTAGTAGCATGATAATAATCTCACGGGTGCTGTGAGTGAATGCTGGCAATTACGTTTGCCCAGAGTTTTTTGCCCGTCTCATCATTTTCCAGTTACTTAATAAACTCAGCCTCCTTAGATTCAACTCAGCATTTGTAGAAAGTTTGTTACACTCCGGCTATTCTAATTTTGGCACGCAGGGCAGGAAGAGGTCAGTGAAATAGCTGTTTGTCACTCAGAGGACACCGGCAACAACAGATGGGAGAAAGTGAGGGTCCAGGATGACTGTGCCGGGGTAGCGAGGTTGTAAATCTATAAGATTGAAGAGGGGTTAGATGTCATTATGCGCCCACTAAAGTCAAGTGAACATCCCTCATAGGGCTCTATCCGCTTTATTACCTTCCCGAGACGTCCCCGGGGGAAGATGTAGGCATCGGCCGTGTTGCTACATCAGGGCGTGCAGTGAGCGTTACTGCAGCTTGCTATTGGAAAACAGTGACTACCGGCTGCATCTACTGTATACACCCTCCTTTACCCACAGTGAGCCTTAGGACTGTATGTATGTTCCTACATGGCAGAGCATACCACCTCTTCACTGCTGTCAACTGAAATGAAAAATGAAAGTTGTCATGAGGTGTTGGCGTTGTTACATATTTTGACAAACGTGCCTCTTATGTCCAAGAAAAAAAAAACACTTATACGTCATACAAGGCTCTTACAAACTAACAAAAGCACAAACAGCCAGCTGAGGGGTTTGACTTGCTGTTATTGTGAAGTGCTCCAGTAAAGGCTATGTGTTTTTGACTGGCTGAGTGAATAGAGAAAATTGAATTTAGTTTGGTTACAGGTTTTAACATAAGGGACTTAAAGACTCCTAAAACAGAGGTTAATGAGGTTTCTTCTTCGGAGGGTTGATACCCTTGAGCCTTATTGGATTTGTAATTTGAATTAGCAGTGCATGCAGCGGGGCTCTTATGTATAGATGTCCTTTCTTTATGAGCTCTGTGTGTGTGTGTGTGTGTGTGTATGTGTATGTGTGTGTGTGTGTGTGTGTATGTGTATGTGTGTTGCAGTAAGTGGTGGTGCTCACGTCTTTGGCTTGTCAGTGTGTTGCGGGGTGTTACAGCAGAAGCTCAGGGCACTTGCTGTCATGTGTTTGCCTAACGAAATCAGGCGGGATGGTCATTATCATTATCATGCATTTTTGCCAAAGCTGCCATGTTTAGCAACTCTAGTGCAGGCAGGAAACAACTGCCGAAACAAATTCATATCTCAGCAGGTAACGCGTAAAAAAGCAAGTGGCAGTGCCATGTGTGCAAGGGCCTCTGCTTTCTAGGTTGCTGTATACAGACCATGGGGTGAGATTAATGGGGTCTCTCTGCGTTGCCATTCTGTTGCATTGTGTTACAGCAGCTGCTCGTGCTGCCGGTGTCATGTGTTTGCATTATGAAACCGGGACCAGTCGAGGGTTATCAGCCACTGCAGGAATGGGAGAATAACAGCAAGCACAAGCTATTGACCTGTGTTTGGGAGTATAAAGGACTTCATAACAGATTGTATAAACCTACTTTTGTTCTCTGCACAAGGCATATTTAAATATCAATTCACAGTGAGTCATGCTTGCAGACTGGGATTTGCAAATTGCACATATCTGCTCCAGAGATTTCTTGTTTTTCCACTCAAAGCTACGGTTGTGAGACGTACAGTATCCCAGTACCACATAGTAATGTGTGCTGGTTTGAATGTGCAGAGATAAGAGTCCGATCCCAACATAAAGGACAATCAGTTTGTTGAATGTGACAAGGGTCAATGATCTTGTTGTGTGAAGGAATTTTCATTACCATGTTTAAGTCTCAGGCTGCCTTTGCATCCATGAATTGTTTAGAAATAATAGCCAACGAAGGTTCAAAGGATATCATGATGCACACAGTGAGAGAATTAAAAGAAGTGATGTATTTGAAATAAAAAAAACTCCATCCTCTTAATGTTTTGAATTCTGGACTGTGCATGCAGAACAAGTAGCAGTAAAGAAAGGAGAAAATAAGTACCAATTAAATTGTTATCAGTCGACAGAATGAGATAGACGTTTCTCCCAAGGCAACTCAAGTTATTTAGTGCAAGAAGCATCAAAAGCATGAAAAAAAAGTTGAAGAAATGGCGTAATTGCAAGTAGCCAAAAAGATCAAAGGAGTAGCCACTAAAGCACTGAAGCAATTAAACTAGAGCCATAGCCTTGGAATTTATTTTTTTAAGGTTATCGAGTCAAAAAAGTGACTGGCAAAAGCAGTGGTGCACGCTGAGCACTGAACACCGGAGGAAACACAGGTAAATAACATACGGGCCTCAAGAGGCATTTAAACACCGCCTCTCAACTACGCTGCATCAGGAATTCAAAGAGCAAACGGTAAGAGCACTGAAATATCACTCCAAGAGGCTACTGCAGTGATACTTTACAAACCATAAGCACAGCTATTTGGCACGTATGTGCTATATTTGTTAACAGTATGAAATGATTACCCTGATCGAAGAGTGTTTCTTCTCGTTCAAAAATGTTATTTAGTTTAGTATGTTGGGCAGGATGTCGCCTCACAGCGAGAGTGTCCTGGGTTTGAATGCATTCATTAGCTGAGAGAATAAAGTAAAATAAAGCCATGCCTAGTGGTGGATTGGAAAGGTTATTTTGCCCGTTTGAAGGTGACTGTGACTTTATTAGCCCTGTGTTAGACTTGTGACCTGCCCAGATTGTACTTTTCCTCTCTTCACCTGCATGCTGGGTCAGTCTGCCTTCCCCTGCCACATTCACTTTCCACATTGGACTAGCAGTGTTGAAAATGAAACTACACTCACTACAAATACACTCCAGTCAGTCAAGCGTACTGGCAAACACTTTTTTTACAAATGTTTAGTCGATACATTTAGATGAAACAATTAAAAGCAAAGCAGCAGAAACTCTTAAAGTGGATAAACCGGAGTAGATCGACATCGTACTTTTTGGCACTTGGTCATAGTTTTGAATGTCTTGAGAACTTTAGTATTCTGACTTGGTAACTCTTGGAAATAATGATTGCTGCATGGCTCCTTTTATCTCTGACATCTGAGCAGTACATCCGAATGAGGAAACTTGTCATTTATTGTCACGGAGCGTGAACGTGTGCACGGAGCATGCCTGTTAACCGTGGGTAAGTTGTTTGCCTCTGACAATGACTGATAATACAGGTGCGCACGAGGAGCGCTGGTGCTTAAAGTCTGACCCGTTTGCCGCCACAGGATGAGTGTCACATGTAAAATGGAGCAATAGGGTGTGACCATAATATGCAATGGAAGCTCGGGGTGTGTGTGTGTGTGTGTGTGTGGGGGGGCTGTTGGAAGGAAGCAGTAGACAGTCGTTTTCAGACTAGCTGTCTGAAGAGAGGGGATACAGATTCACATAAAGACGACCATGGTTATTCTTTCAATAGTGCTGTGCAGGATGTGGTGTGATATTTAACACCCATCTGAACCCGGGGGTAAGCAGCCGTCATAATCCAAACATATTCAACGTGTCCAGAGCAGCTTCAGTCCGGACGCAACAATATTCAATTGAGAAACACTTGTCACCTGCATAGCATGTGGCATTTAAACTGCAGATGAGGATCACATTTTGTACCCGTGAGATCTGCTGCATGGTACCAGCCAGTCCCCTTTCGGATAAAAGCAATTATTAGTGGCATCTGTCTCCCTCAAGATCCACTGTTGTGCAGTCGTCCTGCCACTGTGGCAGCCTTTAACTGTTGCTCCTGACTCTGTCTTGTCACATCCTTTATATGGTCATTTAGATAAAGGGATATGATATATTCATGTAAACAATGTCTTTGTCTAGCGCGGTAGCAAGCACCCAGTGACGTCTTCGACTGCAGCTTCCAGCCTTCTCCTGTTCATCTGAAGGTGACACTGATTTAGATCATGCTTTCAAAAGCTGCATCTGGGCATATTGATCAATATCTTCTGCCAGAACAGCATTTCTCTTTGGCTCTCTTGAGGAAGCCAATTAAGCGAGCTACATGCTCTCGTACAGAAACTTGAAATGCACACAAACACTATCTTCCCCACAGTGGCATTAAATAATGCATAAGAACAATATATTATTGTGCAGCACTTATTACCACAGGTCTTACAAGTCCTATT